AGGGAGTTATGTGCTCGTCGGCCAGAAAACGTCCCCATCGGAAATTCCTCCAGACGAACAAAGGGCAAAAAGGAGAAGGGGAACATGAAGGGGAAGTAGAGGACAATTGCCGTTTTGTTTGCTTTGTGTCGCTTACTCGTTTGTCAGAATATTTTAGTAGGTGTAGTCAAATTAGGATTTGATGAGATTTTAATAGACTTTAAAATTTGGTGTAGTCAATTAAGATTTTGAAATTGTGGTGTAATCAAATTAAGATTTAAGAGATTTTAAAAAATATATCCATTCCACGTTTAGTCAGTTAGGATTTTAAAAAAGTCCATACATGTTTAGATGTATTGAGAATGCCAAAGATCTACTAGAATTTTAACAAGTGAAGAATTTTAATAGATTTGATTGAGGGTGGTGGTATAAATACCAAATGCCATTAAGAATTTAAATATATAATATCTGTCACTTCATATACCATTAAGAATTTATGCCCAAGCGAGGGATTTTAATAGATTTTTTTTTCTTTCTAAATTTGTCATTTCATATGCCATTAAGAATTTTAATAGATTTGAGGATCGGTGCTATAAATTAGGGTGGTTTGTATATAATATTTATTAAAATTTTTGAAATCTGTCAATTCAAAAAAAATTTATTAAAATCCTCTGAAATCTAAATTAACTACGTCTTTTTCGATAAGTTCTTTTTGTTGCCTTAATTTCATTAATTCTCGATTGTCACCATTTCTCGTTTTTTTTCTTGGGAAATTAAAAGCACAGTCAAAGATCGTTCGTAATCATGGCGTTCGTAGACGAATATAGATTGATGAATGAAAAATTTCGGAAATACCTTCTTTTCCTTTAAATATTATTTAGGTCCACTTTTCCTTTAATTAAATATTTTCCTTTCATCTTTTGAGGAAAAAAAAAATTTCCTTCATTTGCAGTCGATTTGAATTTGGGATTGTTGAATGGTTGCTTGAATGTTGTTTCTGTGATCCAATTTTTAGGTTTATCTTTGCGTTTTCTGCATAACGGCGAGAGGAAAAATGATGTATGTATCAAGTTTAATTGTTTGAAGATGTATATTTGAGTTTCAAATGTTTTTCTTTCAAGATGACCCCTACTGTCGTGGACATGATGGAGTTCATAGATGTCTTTTAATTTTTTATTAATGGTGAAACTTATAATAATTGAGTTGATATATATGATGGAGCAAGGACTGCCGTAAGAACTCATGAAAGACCAACTGAAAGTTTTCCATAATTGTAGGGTTACATCAAGGGTCATTTTAAGTCCTTACCATTTTGCATTGGTAATGGATGAGTTAACTTGACATATCCAAGATGATATTCTTTAGTGTATGCTTTTCGCAGACGATATAGTGTTAATAGATGAAACTTTGGAATGAGTAAATGTGAAACTTAACCTTTGGAGAGAAGTGTTGGAATCTAAAGGTTTTCGCCTAAGTCGATCAAAGATAGAGTATATGGAGTGTAAGTTCAAAGCGAACGGAAGCTCAAATAAGTTGGGTGTGAGGATCGGAGATCAGGAAGTACCAAAGAGCGATCGTTTTTGCTACTAGGATCTATCTTGCAAAAGAGCGAAGAGTTGGATGGAGACCTCAACCATAAAATACAAGCTGGATAAATGAAGTGGAAGAGTGCATCGAATGTGTTGTGCGACCGTCGTATGCCACTAAAGCTCAAGGGAAAATTTTATAGGATGGTAATAAGGCCATCAATGATTTATGGCACAGAATGTTAGGCGGTGAAGCATCAACACGTACATAAAATGAGTGTAGCGGAGAATGAGAATGCTTTGTTGGATGTGTGGGCACACGAGAAAGGATAAAATTAGGAATGAGGATATTCGAGGTAAGTAGGAGTAGCTGAAATTGAAGGAAAGATGAGAGAAAATCGGTTATGGTGGTTTGGACATGTGAAACATAAGCCTACTAACGCTCCGGTTAGAAGATACGATTACAAAACAAAGTTTTAGGACCGAAGGGGTAGAGGAAGACCTAGGAAGACTTTGGAAGAGAATCTAAGAAAAGAATTGAAGTACTTGGATATAACGAAAGACATGGTACAGAATTGAGTGCAATAATGTTCTAGGATTCATACAGTCGACCCCACTTGGTGGGAAAATACTTTGTTGTTGTTGTTGTGGTGGTGAAACTTATACTTTCGGGATGGCGTGATTTGTGAATGATCAATTTAGATTCGTGTTTTTTTTTAACAAACGATATTATCTACACTAAGGAAAGTGGGGTGAGTTTAGCCTCACAATAGATTAGTAATAACGTGATTCAAATTTACCTTTGACGAGAATCAAACCTAAGACCTCACTGAAGAGGAATACCGCTAGACCTCTCGCTTATGTGTTTAACGATGTCCAGTAAGAAATTCTACTTTCAGCAAGAATATTGATATTTTCTAATAACTATAAGTAAAGTATAATTAAGAAAAAATATTGTAACTAATTTAAAATATTGTAATTGCCATTCCATGATTTGTGGATCACGGCTCTCTAGCATTAGAATTAGGTTTTGACTTTTCTATTGTGTTTGTGTGTGTGTGTGTGTGTGTACACACAGCCATCGTTGAATAATATACAAGCAATATTCAGCCAACTTCTTCCTTCATACACTATTCCCAGGAACTACCCGACTCTTTTGGTATCAACAAGAAGTTTCTTGATCCACTTCAAGCCCTAGCAAAATACAAATATCATGGGAGACGACCAAACATCAACACCCAATCCCACCAATTCCAAGAAAAACAATTCCAGCAACCCTAGTATGGATTCATCAAATCCATACTACATCCATCCTTCAGATCAGCCTGGCCATGTACTTATTTCTGAAAAATTGAATGGTACAAATTATTCATCCTGGAACAAGTTTATGTTGGAATTTAATATAGCTGCAAACATAGATTACGAACATGCATCAAGTACTGTGATTTGAGTTCAGAGACCTTGGGAAGCCATTGATCGCAAGGAAAGAAAAGGAAATCTTCTACTCAAGGAGGACCTTATGTTCTTTCTAGAATATGGCTAGATTTTCTGATATACGAACGTGTTCCTCTTGAGCAGGGACTTTTCATTTTATAAACGTGCAACCATAACCATTTCCTCCTATCAAGGAAAACGGTTTGTTCAAAACACACGTCTATAATGCTCCAACGTGGGATATCCACTCACCAACATGTTTAACCCTTCATGTCCTACTTTAAAGGAAAGAAGTTTATTCACCTATTAACTCTAACCGTTCTCAGTTTCCACTAAATTCAAAACCTGAATGAGATAAGTTTGGAGTCCAATAGGGTTCCAACAGTTTATGCTTCATTACCTTCGAGCCAAGAATAAAACTGGCTTCATCAATGGATCCATTAAACCTCCTTCAGAAACCAAGAATTCAGTAACTATGCCTATGGACACAGTGTAACAGTATGATCCTATCATGGATTTTACATTTGGTGGAAACCCATCTTTTGTGCACGCGGAATTTGCATACAAGGTATGGCAAGATTCCAAATACCAATTTTGAAAGTTGAATGCTCCAACGAAAGATGGGCCTCTTTATCGCAAGGCACCATGACTATCTCAACATAATTTACAAAACTCAAAACTCTCTGGACTCAACTTGATGCATATGAAGACCTATCATCTGCTTTGAAAATTGGTACTTGAAATCTTTCCATACCTTATATGCAAATTCAGCGTGCACAATCCTTTAGAAATAGGATCATAGTGTTGCATTTTGTCCATAGAGCATGTTCACCTGGATTCTCGGTTTCTGAAGGAGGTTTAATGGATCCAATGGTGAAGCCAATTTTATTCTTGGCTCAAAGGGCATGAAGCATAGACATGCTCCATCCAATCCTTTGAGTGCACTTTCTGCAAATCAAATTCAACAGTCAACTCATGCTCTCTCGCTGCTTTCTCCTGGTAGTAGGAATACTTATGCAAATGCTGCAAGTCTGAATTCTTTTTCTGCTGCTTCGATTAATTCTATGTTTACTAAGCATGGATCTTGGATAGCGAAGTTACCGATCATACAATTTTTTATTCCACTTTACTTACTAAAACCAAACCTCCATCTATACCCGTTGTTAATTTACCCACTGATTCTTCAATCCTAATCACTTCCACTGGCACAATACCATTTAATTCCGATATCACTTTAAACGATGTCTTGTGCGTACCATCTTTTCATCTCAATCTCATGTCCACTAGCAAAGTCAATGACTCTCTGTATTGTTGTGCCATTTTTTCCCTCACCTTCTCAGTTTTGCAAGACTTGGCCTTGGGGAAGATGATTGATTCGGGTAAGATGCATGGTGGTCTCTATTACATGTCGCCTATACAACGGATACCTACTTCTCATCAAGTCTCCCATCCTTCCAATTTATGGCATCAACAACTTGGACATCCATCTCCTTCTTGTCTTAAATTAGCTTCTTCATTGTTATCTTCTAGTGATGTTTCCCTTGATAATAATTTTAGTGTTTGTCCTCTAGCCAAACAGACAAGACTTCCATTTTCTTTAAGTTCAATATCGACTCATGCACCTTTTGCTCTATTACATTGTGAATTTGGGGTCCTTACAGAATTCCCAATCACTCTGGGCTCATTTCTTTCTTACAATTGTGGATGATTTTACTCGATACACTTCGATATTTTTAATGTGTCATAAATCTGAGACAAAAGTTTTTAAGGTCTTTTATCACTTTTGCTCACACTCAATTCAATGCCATAGTCAAAACTATCAGAGTAGACAATGGATCTGAATTCCTATCCATGGGGGATTATTTTCAATCCAATGGCATCGAACTTCAACGCATTTGTGTTTACACTTTGACACGCCCCGATCCTGATATTCCCCGTGCCCCGTGCTGGCCGACACCCGAGGGTGACGAAAGCCATTTATTGAGTGCAAATGTTGAAAACAAGGGATAGATAAGACTTATAAATATAAAAGAATAAAGAATAAGCATTTAAGGAACGTGTTTAGAGCATATGACTAACTAGAACACCGAAAGAAATAATATAAAGTTTAATGAAACAAAGGATGGGTCCTGAACCGAGAGGACTCGAAGATGCCGATGCGGAATTGCCTTGACGTCGGGATTGTATGCCTCGATTCTAAGCCCTGAAGGGGGCGCAAAACAAACATGAGTGGACCAATTTGATATATATATATAAAACAGTTATCAACGTACTAACCCCCAGGTTTTATGAAAACACATATATAATGATAAACATAGGTTTTCTGAAACCTAGCATGTCGTGCAATGTCTCAAATCATAACTTGTATATATAATAATCACTAGTGAATTGTCCGATAACCCCCAGGCCCCATGCCGACTCCCCGTCTTTGAGCAGACAGTCAGAGGAAAATACACTTCAGGCCCTTTGCCGACTCCCCGTCCCTGGTCTTAAATGCCAGAGGAAACACCATCCAGGCCCTATGCCAACACCAAACCGTTGCCCGGGACGGACCAGAATCTATCCCTACATCTCGTAGTGGAAAGGACCACTAGGTAAGTACAAAATCATTGAACATATCTATATTGAAAAGCAACTTTATAGTATAAAGTCATCCATCATCTATACTATAAAGAGGTGTTCGAAACGTGTTCTAAATATCATATCGTCATCCATCAGATATTCTATAAGAACACGGGTTATAGGAAAAATAGTAATAATTCAAACTAGCCTCAATAAGCATGTTATCTCAAAGCGTTTCATAAAACATAATTGTTAAATCATGATTTTCATGTATGCATTTCTACTATCAAAACATGCATTTTAGAAAGGGTCCACTCACCGTACACCGATGGTGCAAAACTGTACCAAAAAGGTATAACGGAATCACCGTTAATAATTGCACCTATTCACATAAAGGAGTACCTTTAGTCAAATTCTATTCAAACGATTGAATTTGGGAAAACGGACTTCAAAAACGGATCCAGGACGTCGAAATTAGCCTAGGAGAGGTCCTGGACGAAATCCCAAAAAGTCAACTCAAAAAGTCAACGTTGACCGTTGACCGGTCAAAGTCAACTCTAACAGTTGATCGAGTCAACAGTCAGAATCAACTGGTCAAAGGTCAAAGTCAGACTTGGGCTTTGGATTGGGTTGGGTCGAATGGGCTTTAAGGGTTTTGGGTTGGATTAAAGGTTAATGGGTTTTGGGAAAGGGCTGAAAGCCCACTTTCTAATTGGCCCTAAGGCCTTAATCCTAAAACAGAAATTAAATAAAACCTTAAAAAGGTTTTGGGTTGGACTAATGGCTACGGGCCCTAAACATAATGGCCCGAAGGCCTTAAGGTCCTAAACAATTAATTAAATAAAAATAAAAGGAAAACAATTGGGTTTGGGTGAGTTGGGCTAGGCTCACCACACGGGCCTATGGCCCGATTGAATTGGAACCGGCCTGGGAGGCCTGGTCTCGCCGGAGAACAAACACCGGAGCTTCAACAGCTCTGGCCAACCACCACACACCACCCTAAACTTCGATTTAGGTATCAAAACGAAGAGCAAGACGAGGGGAGTGTTTTTATACCTTCCTTTCGTCGTGGAACGGCCGGAGGTGGCCGGAATCTCCCTCGACACTCCTGAGGTCGCCAGAGATGGGTGTGCCTACACCCGTGGTGATTTCGTCCTAAAAAACCTCCCAAAATCACGAAATAAAACCAATTAGAACCCATTCTCACAAGATTCTAGGACGAAAGAAAGGGATATTGAGGCTTACCTCACCGGAAAATATAAAAATCTCGCCGGAGATCCTTTCCGGTTTTCTGGGTTCGCATACACGAGAGGGAGAGAGAACAGGACGCGATTGATGATGGCAATGGGTCTTCCTCGCGCAGGGGAGATAGTGTGCGTGTGTGTGCTTGTGGTTGAGTGAAGAGAAGAGAGATATGAAAGAGCCGAGAGGGAGAGAGACAGGACAGACATGAAAAACAGAAAAGAAGAAGGAAGAGGTTCACCGGGGGGGGGGGGCAGAGAGAGAAGTGAGGGAATAATTGGGGTGCTACCACGTGGCAGCTTGAGGGAGAAAGAATCCAATGCTTTAGATCCTAATTGGGTAGATAAAATAGGACCAAATAGATATATTGAAAATGTTGAGGGGTTAAATACATTAATATATTTTATAAATAGGGGGTGGGTGTTACACACTTCCCAACAAAATGGGGTTGTTGAACGTAAACATCGCCATATTCTTATAGTAAACGTTCCTTACGCTTTCAGTCCAACATGGGGGTGATTGTGTACTCATTGTCGTCTATCTCATCAACCGTTTACCTTCACCCCTACTTTCCAACAAATCACCCTTTGGACTATTAGTAAATTTCATCTATCGTTTGGGAAAAAAATAACCTGTGTCCACGCTATGAGGGAACATACTTGTCCACCCACTAGTGATTTAACGTATTTTCATATTATAAACATCAAAATCGAAATTGTCCATTACCCTTTATTATCATATAAATATCATCTTTGGAAAAGAGTAGTTCAAATTGGAGATCATATAGCTATCCATGTGTGTCAAACACAAGTGGGTGGACAAATGGATTCCTACCATGGGGTTCAATACAAGTAATTTGCTAAAAAATAATATATAAAATTGTCTATTTTTAACTATTTAAAATGTTAAACAATTATGCAGGGCAGTTTCGTGACGGATGTGCTATTACCATATCAGACCTTTCAAGCCTAAAAGATGCAGATTCTCCCAATTATCCATATTCGTGGGGATTTTCCCGCATGTTCTTAGGTTTAAGAGCTCTCAAATGTTTTTGTTATCTAGAAGCATGACATGAGCTCAATTATGAAGCTTAAGGGCTGTAAGATTTTTGTCAAACTCAGGGGTAATATTACGTAGTTTACTCACTTGGTTTTAATGTAATCTTTTTCCCACAGGTCAAGAATACTTTTCCCCCACTGGGTTTTTGCAAACATAATGAGATTTGAATTTGGCACCCACATCGGGTTGGTCCGACCCTTGACATGTGTGTTTACCGTTGCTTATTCATCTCAAGCCTCAACATTGCATTAACTCATATTTTTTTCCCTTAGACTACGAGTTTGTCCTATTGGGTTTAATGTAGCCAGGTTTTGGTGAGACTATATTCTATATGCATCCCTCAATGTAAGACTCGTGTATGCATTGCATGTGCTTGACGAGAAGACTTCATCAACTGATTTCATATTGCCTAAAGACCTAATGCAACTACTTCTTTGGTTCTACACACTCAAGGAAGAGTGTTGCAATTAGTACTAAAGAAATGTGATTGTGTAACTAGAAGTAAGAATCCTATAGGATATAGAAGATCCTTTCCTTGTATGAGTTGTATTACTTGGAGAGCAAGTAAAAACCATCATAATTAGTGCAAATAAAGGCACAAAAAAAGGGAAAAGGATCCTCTCTGGATCCTCATTGTGGGGATCCAGGAGATCCATCAATCACGGTTGTTCATCGTACATCATGCGGTCATAAATTATTTTTAAATTTAAAATTTAAAATTGAATATAAATAGTATATAACGAAAACTAACAGCACGATAGACGATGAACTGTCGTGATTGATGGATCCCCGGATCCTCACAAAGAGGATCCGGAGAGGATCCTTTTCCTAAAAAAAAGGGAACTTTAACGAAAAACTCCCAGTACTGTTCACTTTAACTAAAAACCACATTTTTACACTAAAAAGTCAATCATGATACTATTTATTTTACCCTTTATTTTGTCCTTATCATTAAAACTCAAAGTTTTCAAGCCATTTTCATTAGTTTTCCTAAAAAAAAAAACCATCATAATTAGTACAAATAAAGGCATATGGCCTAAGGAAAATCAATCAAGTTAGACCGCTAGACTCCTTTCACATCTCTCTATCGTCTCTCGCTCCCCTCTTTCTCTCTCTAAATACTATTTACAACCACAACTTTAATAAATTAATAATTAATTAACTAAAAATAATTAGTGAATATACGAAAGGCTATTTGGGCTGATAGAGAATTAGAAGTGCTTTCTGTAACTAAAAGTACTTATGGCTGTATGACTACATTTTTCAAGAAGTACTTCGATTTGAATGAAAATTCTAACTTGTTTATACTAAAAACACTTTTAGTAAAAACATTTATGAGCAGAAGTACTTACAAAAATAGTACCCATTAAACGAATCTCAAGTTACATGGTTATACTTTGAATGGAAGCTTGCATTGCATTGACATGGAAACACCTCAAAGCAGTTGGTTGTAGATGGAACACAGATATATATATACATCAAATTTGTCCATTGCAGAAAATACATAGTGTGTATATAAAGCTAGCTAGCTAGCACGATAGTTCACTTCAGCAATAATCATCAGTATTTTTTATATATTTTGATGTCTTTCCAACGTGATTCCATGTAGTAGCTTATGTTAGCCGGTGCAGCATAAACTCCACATTTGAAGTACAAATCTCCTGGCCCTTGATCCTTCACCCGAAATTTCTGGACTCCGTCAATGAAAACAGTCACGCTCCCTACGTCGACGTCATGGATTATGTTAAGTCTGAACCACTTATCGTAAAGATTTGTAGCCACCAAATCTCGACTATAATACCTCATGTCGCCGTTATAGATTCTTAGGATTATAGTCGTAGCACCCTTAGCTGCTCCATGGATCTGTGCTACTGTAGCACCAGAGGTTCCATTTGGCACAAATCCATAGCCTTCAAATTGCCATATTCCAGATGAGTAGTCAAGTCCCTGCATAAAACTTAGTTAGCTCTAGCTGATGATTGCTTTTTCGTCAGATGATATGTGGACCTGGACCACCCGTTCTAGAAGCGTTCTACATAAAACCTATACAACGTATAGCAAAAAGCACAAAACAAATAATTTATGGTTCGTTTGGAAGTATTTTTAAAATAACTAGAAACGTTTTTGATGAAAATGTTTTTGAAACCAATCTTTAATAAAAATCGAACGAAATCCTGAAAAAAAACACTTTAAGTGCTTCATGCAAGTAACACATATTTGGTGCTTCTTCTAAAAAACATTTAAATTGCTTTTGAAACCCCGAATTAATTTTCATAAGCACTTCCAAACAAATTCTTATACGGAAGCATTTTTTCTAACTTATACAGAAGCATTTTTTCTAACTTATGCGGAAGCATTTTTTCTTGCTAGATTTATGCTGGCAAGACTATATATATGAATATGGACCATATAAGTCAACCTGAGCAATAGTTTATATTCCCTGTCTAAATGTAAAATCACACATTTGATAAAATTTAACATGATCAATGACTAAGGTTCATATTTTGAATACTCACTGTCTATACAGAAAAGTGTTCTCTCTAGTCGAATCACCTGACAACGTAAAAATATTTATAATATGTAAATAAGACAAACATATTCTATTACACAGTCTGACAACATAAAAGATTTATCCGCAAAACTGTGACCTTGAACAACATATTCGGTCAAAAAGAAACTTAATCAAATCCACCATATGCGAACATAAACATATATCAGTAGGGTTATGGGGCTTGTGAAATCCACCATATATGAACATAAACATATTACATATATCAGTAGGGTTATGGGGCTTGTCATATATAGCAGGTTGGGAGGCGTACCCGTATGCGAACTTCAGTACGTGGTTGGGTTTGGCTATTAGGGTCATGGGGCTTGTCATCAGCATAGACCCACAAACGCCTTACTCCATTGACAAAACTGTAGCGCTCCTCCAGTGGTACGTCATACGGTTTCTGTAATTCGAAATTATATTCTGTTAACGGAACATCGGTGAAGCCATCAGTCGGATCAGCACCGCATAACTGAATAATTTCTTTCAGTGAGCCCAGAAAAACCAAGGACAGAAGTATATAGCAGTAGCTACCTCTCATATTTCTTTCTCCACTACCTCCCTCCTATAGTTGGTGGGAGCTTATATCTCTGCATGTAGGTATATATATACATACATAGATATATATTATACATTAGAACATCGATCACATTAGATCATTGATTGTTCACACATTAGATATTTTTATCCTTAATTTTAATATATTTTCATTTTGTAAATTGACATTTACAGCAACAACCACCAAATCATATCTCAATAGTCTCGTTTTTGCATCAACTCTTCCATTAGTTCCAAGTATTAAATATATTATCTTATATTTAATTTTATATGTGTAAGTTTAGCTTATGTTGCCGGTCTCATGCCTGGATAAAGAAGGAGTGCGTCAGATAGTAGTTGACAACCAACGATTTGTTCTTCACATCAAAACCCTGTGATATAAATCCTAAACGTAATATTTTACTATTTAGCCTAATTAATTAAAGTCTTTACACTAACTCTAACATGGGCTGCATGGAAGGCAAACTAAAGCTTTTTCAACAAAATGTAATTATACATCGGAGGAGAGTGTAAACCAGTGAGGGTATTTGCAGGGTAGTTAGCATAATATTATTGTTTAATTGAAGCTAATTAATAATGTAAATACCCACAAGATGACAAAGCATGTGAAACTACAGAAGTATGGTTTCTTGAATTAGCCCTTCAGGCGGCAGGGTTGTTAGCAAAATATAGTGCATGATGCCGGCGGAGGCACCAAGGGTCTAGAACTGGTCTCGGCCTATATGTCCTGACTTTTCTAAAATAAAAAAATTACTGTCGCGCAACCTTATTGGTTTTTGTCGAAATCTTCTGTTGTCAAACTTCTTTTTGTCCACTTACTATTTGTCCGATTCAAATTCTATCATATCCCCTTTGGCCAATTCAACAATCTTAAATATGTTAATTGATATTCCTAACACAAGTTAATCACAAGTGATCGGGTGGACGAATGGTTGCGGGTGGGCGAATGGATTCCACCATGGGGGTTCTATATAAGGAATGAGGATCCTCTCCGGATTCTCTTTGTGAGGGTCTTTAA